CCAGCACCTCATGGTCTTTTTTTCCTGCAGCCCATGTCCCTCTCAGGTGAGCTGGGGGCGGGGGGGCGGTTGGCAAGCGCCCGAGAAAGCACAGGCTGGGGGTAAATCCCCTTGCCTCCCCCACCCCACAGGCCACAGCCAGGGCAGAGCTAGGTACTCCAAGTTCTTGGCTGAGAGACCAGAGTGACCAGGTGCCAAGAGCCCCCAAAGAGGCCCCAAGCCCCCAAAGCCCAGGCCAGGGTGCCCTGAACACAGGGTCTTGGGTGGGGCAGCTTTGAACCAGATGTACAGCCTCACTGTCCAGGAATGAAAGGCCTGGGGCAGGGAGGGGGGTGAGATGCCTCCCCAGGCAGAGGAAGCTCTGGGAAGTGGGGGAGGTCTGGGAAGCCGAGAAAGAGAGAACACACAAGAGTGAGGGATTGTGTGTGCAAGGCTAGGGCTGTCTGGGGAGGGGGGTAGTGTCGGGGAGAACAAGGTGGAGAGTGCTAGGAGGAGGGCTTGCTGGAATGTGTGATGGTGGGAGTGAGGGCTGCAGTCAAACTGAGGTGGGGTATGGGCAGGGGGAGGTGAGGGTGCAGGGTTGTGACTGAGCTGAGGCTGTGTGTGTGTGTGTGTGTGTGAGTGTGGGGTCGGTGTTTGGAGAGGTGCGCGTGGGCTGTCCCTGGGCTCAGGTGGCTGAGGAAAGTTCTGGAGCTTGTTGGGGAGGTACAGAGGACTGCCTTTTCGAGGAGGTTTTGGGTCTGGATGGGGAAAGCAGTTGTGTGTGTGTGTGTGTGTGTGTGTGTGTGTGTCTGGGAGAGTACAAGAAACTGGGGGGAAGTTAGCTGTTTAGAGATGTACTAGAACCGCAGCTATCAATGTCTGTGTGTCTGAGGCAACTGGTGTGGCTACAGGGGGGCTTCTCATCTGAACGGGTGTGGAGGCAGCCAGCGGGCTGATGCGTATGGGGGGCTGTGTGTGTGGAAGGGTGTAGAAGGCTGGACAGACGTGTCTGGGGAGGCGCTGGGCTGCAGCTGGGGGCAATGCTGGGCTATCGGGAGAGTCTGTGTGCTAGTGAGGTGGTGGGACGCTGAGAGTCTGCGTATGTGCAAAGCGTCAGGGCTGCAGCGGAGTCCTGGGTATATCTGGGGAGGAGTTGGGGTTGGAGAGGGAGTCCATGTGGCTGAAGCTATGTGTGTGCGTGTGTACACTGGGATGTTTCAGGGTATATTGCGGGTCATAAAAATGTTTGTTTTGGTTAAACATTAGGGTTGCAAATATCTGTGTGGGTAGGCATTTATGTGGCGGTTGTGTGTTTAGGGGCATGTTCGGGCTGTGTGCGATAGGGGCCAGTGGGATGTCAGGTGTTCTATGTGGAGTGACTGTGTTTGTGGAGGGACCGGGCTGTGTGTGCTTGCAGGTGGAGCAGCTGTGTGTTCAGGGGTGTTGGAGCCGTGTGTGTGGAGCAGTTTTATATGTTTGGGAGGTGGTAGGGGCTGGAGTTGGTGAGGATGGGTGCCTCTCTGGGGAAATGAAAAGCTGAATTCTGGCCTCTGTTCAGGCACCCACTGGGGGGCTGCCAGATTCAAGCCCTCTACCTTACGGGGGAGGGGGGGCTGCCCACCCCCAGGCCCCGTGCGAGGGTGTCCAGACAGGCAGTCCATCTGTCTCAGCCTGTGCCCAGGCCCAGGAGCCGC